TGTTAGGTATTTTTAGTCAGATAGATATTGGTTAGGTACTTGTTGTATTAGAAATGTCGATAGTGTAGACAGGATGTCTAGTTCAGGCTGTTAAATGCTTACTCATTTCCATGAGTTACTCCAGGTTGTTTATGTTCAAGGATAACTAGATAGAAAGTGGCTACTGTATGATATGTTTAGCCGTAATCTTAATCATAATATCTTCCTAGGCTTACTGTCCGGACATGTCCCTGAATGTCCTGTATGTTCTTAGATACACACCACTTAATCAACACTCACACACATTGATTTTCTCCATGTTTTGACTACTGCTACGGTCAGCTGTAAAGCTGGCATATCAGGTTTGACGTGCCTTTGTAGAATGGGGTTAGCCCAAACCAGATATAATGTACAGGCCTGTTGGGTTCGGGGTCTTTTTCATCGTTCATCTGCCTGCGTGCAGTTTGGAGGTGAAGGATACCTGAGCGTGTAATGTTAATTTTACCTGTGATCCTTGAATAAACCAGCATGATTTTTAAGATACTTGGACCGTCTTGTCTCTCTGAGTTCTTGGTATAGAAGAACCAAAAGAAAGGGAATTAAAATATATTCCTTTCACTAGGGAAGGAAGAGATGGAACCCTCATGGAAGGACAAACCTCTGCATGGTATGTACCACCGTGAAATAGTAGAAGTGGCTGATATCGAAAAATCCTACCAGTGGCTGGACAAAGCTGGACTAATCATAGCAGCACAAGAACAAGCTCTAAGTACAAGATCAATAGAGGCAAGGGTCTACCATACCAGACAGGACCCCAGGTGCAGGCTGTGCAAAGATGCCCCTGAGACAATCCAGCACATAACAGCAGGGTGCAAGATGCTAGCAGGCAGGGCATACATGCAACGCCATAACCAAGTGGCTGGCACAGTGTACAGAAACATCTGTGCTGAGTACAAGCTGGAAGTCCCAAAATCAAAATGGGATGCACCTCCAAAGGTTGTTTAGAATGACCAATCTAAGATCCTGTGGGACTTCCAGATACAAACTGACAAACTGGTAATGGCCAATCAACCGGACATAGTAGTGGTGGACAAACAGAAGAAGAAGGCTGTAGTGATAGATGTAGCAATCCCAAGCGATAGCAACATTAGGAAGAAGGAACACAAGAAGCTCGAGAAATACCAAGGGCTGAAATAAGAGCTAGAAAAGATGTGGAAGGTGAAGGCACAAGTGGTCCC